CAATTAAGCCATGAGCGAATTCTTCTTATTGTTTGGGAATGTGGAGGTTTTTTCTTCGTTTTGTGCTTTTGTTGGTCGTATATTGCATTTTTATTTACTTTTTTTTTAGTTTTTAGTTTTTATTTTTATTTGTGTGTAAGTTTTGTTGGTTTATATTTTATGTGGGGTTATTTTTTGTAGGAGAGAGAGGAGAAAGAGAGAGAGAGAGAGAGAGAGAGAGAGAGAGAGAGAGAGAGAGAGAGAGAGAGAAATAGAAAGAGAGACAATAGAAATAGAAATAGAAATAGAAATAGAAAAGAAAAGAAAGCAAAGAAAGAAAGAAAACCAAACAAACAGACATACAGAAATATGAGATGAATGAAAATAGGCTCTATGTCACGCCCCCCCCCCCGCCCCCCACGTCTAATTCCAGAGTCATCTGTATTTCCCGTTAATCGCTTACTAATGCACAGATAATACAGAGAATCGCTTTGTTTGTTACCTGCGCAGCTATTAAAAGTTGTTTTATGGTTCCCTGAATTGAATTTGAAAAATCGTAATATATTGGGCCAACACGAGTAGAATCCTTTAATATCGATAATAATATGTTTATGGGGTATTTTTTTTTATATAGTTTTATTGTTGTTAGTATATTTGTTAGAGGTACCGTTACCGTTCATTATTGTTATCAATGTTATGATTTATATTTTTGTTGCTGTTATTATTATTGTCAATAATATTATTCCTAGTAATAGTAGTATTAGCAATAGTAGTAGTTGTTTTTGATGTTGAATTTGAAATATTGATAATGATAATTACTATTATTTTTATTGATTGTATGTGTTATTATATTATTATTATTATTATTATTAATTATTGATTATTATTAATTATATTATTTTACTATTATTTTTAATATTTAGTTTTATTATTCCCACTACTACTTACGTTACTACTATTATTTTTTTTTTATATTATTATTACTATCATTATTATTGTTATTTTTATTATACTACTATTATTATCATTATTATGTTTAATGTATTTTGTTGTTGTTAATTATTTTATTATTACTCACTACTACTACCTACTACTACTATTTATATCATTTAGTTATTATTATTATTACTTACTACTATTATACATTATCATATTCATTATTAAATACTATTACTAATCATTATATTATTATTATTATTATTAGAATGATGATAATGATAATTATTGTAACATTTTTTCCGAAATGTCAGCTCAGAGCGAACGAAATCTCCAGATAGCGATGAGATGGACGTTCGATTATTCACACTGGGATGAGAAAAGTCTAAGCCGAAGCCCGAGCCGAGATATATATATTTGCTTATTTTTTTATGTATGTGAGAATCGAAAAGATCTCTTGAGTTCCTTGTCTTTGGTTAGGGATCTTTAACTCTCGGTTTCTCAAGCTTTTCTTAACCAAGAAAAAAGTGGAAGGAAAGAAAGGTGAAAATTTTACGCTGACTTTGGCTTCGGTTTGGTTATGATTTTGCATATTTGACTCAATACTAATTTTTTTTTTGCGTGTGTGTTCGGAATGAAGAAAGAAAGAAAGAAAGAAACTGAGATTGAATAAAAGAAAAGGAATACGAGAAATAAGAGTGAATGAAAGATAAAGAACAAGAGAAAGAAAAGGAACGAAGATAAATGATATACATATGTACGTATGTTTGTATGTATGACATAAAACGAACGAAAATTAAGTATATAAAATGACAAAAACGGAAAAAAATGAAATACAAACAAGATGCAACGAAAAAGGAGATTAATAAAGGAAGTAAAGCAACAAATAAGAGAAGAAAGAAATTCACTACACAAGATTAATGAATGAGATCATTTAAATCAAAATCAAAATCATACGGAGCTCCAACTACTTCACTCATTCGAGACTCTTAAGTTAATTAACGCTCCCCGGCCGCCTGTGCAGAGCCGACGCCGCTGCTGCTCGCGCGGAAAACAAATGGGCGGGAAAAATCGTCGTTAGCTTGGGATTTCCTATTTCATACAATTTTTTTTTTTTTTTTTTTTTTTTTGTTTTTTTTTTTTTTTGGTGGTGGTGTGTGTTGACATTATATGACTGGATTACTAATGGTGAATTATAGTTATAATATAGTATATATATATATATATATTCATGGCTATATAATAATATAATATATATAAAATATATATACACACGAATATATATATGATATGTATGTACATATGAATTGAATATATATACAAAATATAAGTATGTGTGTGTGTATAAAATATGATATATATATATAATATATAGTTTAATATATATAATATATATATAAACATGCATATGGATATATATATATATATTATATGTGTATATATGTGTGTGTGTGTGTGTAGTGTATGTGCTGTGTGTTTGTGTGTGTATGTGTGTGTGTGTGATTATGTATGCAAAAATATATATATATGAAGAGAGAGAAAGAGAAGAGACAGACAGATTTGACGAACAAAAAGAACAGAATCCCAAATATGAGACCTAGCAAGAAAAAAAGAGAATAATGGTAATAATGACAGTAAAATAATTAAAAAAAAAGCAAAAGAAACAACAGACGTCGACCATACCCGCCCCCCTCAAAAAAAAAAAAAAAAAAAAAAAAAAAAAAACTTCCCACTCCACGACCCGGAAGCCGCGACCCCGAAACCCCAACCCGGCCGGCCTATCCGTCGCGTCGAGGAGGCCCCGCCATATATAGGCTTAGTCGCTCGCTCGGTCGACGAGGGAATCAAACTCACAAACATTTTGATGAATGGCTTCTACCCAGCTGATCCTACAGGACTAATTAATTCTCGCAGCGACAATGTTCTTTATGTGCGCGTCTGAAAAGCAATTATGAGGGATTTACTGCGCCTGGACACATAACTTTTTCAATTTGTCATCACATCATGGCGGTGTTGTGTTTGTGTCAGGGAAATGGAAACGTAAAAAGGAGTTGCCGAGGAGGCTTTTTTGGATATATTTTATGATCCTTTTTTTTTTTTTTTTTTTTTTTTTTTTTCCTCTCTCCTCCTCCTCCTCCTCCTCTTCCCTATGAATATTTCTTTTTCCTTTTAGGGCGCTTTTCATTTCACTTTCTTTTTTTTCTCTCTTGCTTGCTTTGTATGTTTTTTTTTTTTTTTTTTTTTTTCTTTTTTTCTTCGTTTCTCTTGCCTGTTTATGCCGATTTTTCGTTTCTTGTTTTTCTCTCTTTCATTTACTTCATTTTTCTGTCAAATTTTGTAACTGTCTTTTGTTTTTGTTCTTTATCTGTTTTCTGTACTCGATTGTCTTTCTCCCAGATTCTCTTTTTTTCTGTTTCTCTTTCGGGTCTCCTTCCTTCTCCACTCTCCCTCTCTCTCTCTCATCTACTCTCTCTCTCTCTCTCTCTCTCTCGTCTTCTCTCTCTCTCTCATCTCTCTCTCTCTCTCCTCTCCTCTCTCACATTCTCCGCCATGCGTGAATTTGTTCCTCTTCCTCATTTCTCGCTACCCTCAATCCCCTCCCCACCACCACCCCCACCTCCACCCACACTCCCCCGAGCCTCTTCCTCTCCCTCCCACCCTGGCTGCCTTTGACCATTTCGCATCCCCCCCCCTTCCCCTCTCACCCCCGGCAGTACAAGAAGGGGAGGAGGGAGGGGGGGGAGAAAGAGGAGAGAGGGGGAGAGAGGGTAGAAAGGAAGGGAGAGGAGAGGAAGGAGAAGGGAGAAGGGAGGGAGGGGGAGAGGGAGAGGGGGAGAGAGGAGAGAGGGAGGGAGGGGAAGGGAGAGGAAGGAACGAAGAGGAAGGGAGGGAAGAAGAAGAGGAGGAATGAAGAGGGAGGGGGGCGGAGAGGAAGAAGGGAGAGGGGGAAGGGGGCGGGGCGAACGCTCATTGTCCAGGACGATCAGCATACACCAAGTGCCTGCGAAGCGACTACGACCGGCATTGTCCTATGAGCTGTGTCACGACCGGCGGTATGACTGCATGACACGGAGCCGGCCGACGAGCTCCTAATGCCGCAGGGGAGCCGGAGCTTGGCAGAAATGTTGCATGACGCTCAGTGCCTCGCTCCGGGAGAGGTTATGAATGACACGGAGCCGAGTTGCCGTGTGCCTGTGCATGGCAGTGATAACGAGAGAGGGTATGTGTGCGAATGTGTCATTTTCCACTCGTCTTTGGCGTTGATTTGCATGGCGCTGGTTTGCCGTGCATCTGTAATTCGTTTGTTTGTTCGTGTGATTTGTTTTCATGACGAACATTTATTTATCTCCCGCCGCCTCTTTTGTGTTATTCCATCACCACATTTTCGAATTAGAACTATGGCGTTAGAAATGCGATTTTGGGTGACAGCGAGTTTTGATATATTTCGTGTTGGAAATACACGTGTGATGATAGCGAGATGTTAAAGTGCATCCTATTAGAGGACTCCAGTGGCGATCGTTGTTTGTTTGTGTTTTTTTTTTACTTTATTATACTTTCATGCGGATATTGTATTTCATGAGTGTGACGTCAGCGTTCGTATAAAATGCGCAGTGCGCGGTTTAAAAAAACTCACACACTCCGTCCATTCGTTTATTGGAACGCTCGCTCGCTCGCTTACGCTTACTCACTTACTCATGCTTTGACTCACCACTACTCTTACTTGCCGCCGCTCACTCACGTCACTCACTCATTCACTCACTTCTTACTCAACTCACTCACACACACAACCCACCAAACACACACACACAACACACACACACAAACAACACACACACACACACACACACACACACACACACACACAACACACACACACACACACACACACACACACACCACACACACACACACACACACAACACACACACACACAACACACACGCCACACACCCACACCCACAACCAAAAACCAAAAAACCAACCAACCAAACAGACACCCTAAATAACTAAATAACTCACCCACTAACACCACCACCACCACCACCACTAACGAAACGACTAACGAAATCGGATCAAAAACTTAC